TTTTTGTTTTGTTTTATTTTATTTTATTTCTGTCGCGAATAACGTGTTTGTGTTGCTTTGCAGTTCAGCGGGTCCGGCGAGGAGGAGACGACGCCCCTCAACGTGAGTAGTGCTCTTGACTGCGTCGCGCCCCCTCTCTCCTCTCCACTCCTCTCCTCTCTCCTCTCTCCATTTTACCTTCAATTTCGCTGTAATCCAGCGGAGCGCGCGCGCGGCGTCACGACACTTGGAATCATCCGCGGCTCGCGTCGTGTCCTGCCCGCACCGGGGGGAGGGGGTACATTCAGTTGGTAGTACATTCTCTCTCTCACTCTCCCACCCAACCCCTTCCCCTTCTCTCTCTCTCTCGCATGGTACGGCAGCTCTCCTTCAACAAAGGCGCCACCTCTGCGTCCCGTCCGTCTGCATTCCCCCCGTTGCTGCTGCCACCACTGCAGCTGCTGCTGCCGCCCCCCTCGTCTATGTCGCCGTGGAGCAAGGAGCAGGGGCAAGGCGTGTAAAAAGAGAGAGGGGAAGGGGGGCGAATTATTACTGCCTCGATTATACTATGGAGGAGGGGAAGACATTCTCTACGTCTGGCGGCGAGGAGGAGGAAGCGCGACTGCAGACGCGCGCGGCGTTTGGAACGGCGGCGCGGCGGGAGCAGGGCATTCCCTTCCGGCTCCGCTGAGGGACAGAAAGTCAACCGCCACGCCTCGCCTCGCCACGCCGCCGCAGTGCGCCGGGGGATTCGCTCTCGTTCCCCGCGTGCGCTCTCCGCATATTTATTGGCGTGTGAATATGCATAGTGTCCCCTGACGCCATCACCTGCAGACTGCCGCCGCCGCGCCCGCCACCTTCTGCGTCCTGATTGCCCTCGACCCCCCCCCCCTTTTTCACACCTCCCATTTCCGTTCTCTAAAACATCTCTCCCCCATCACCATTTTGATTCCCCCTCCCCCCTCTCTCTCTCTCTTCGACATCACCTCTTTAGATTGCCATTCTTATCGATCCCTCGGTGGTTGATCCCAATATAAAATTAGATCGCCAATACTCTGCAACGTGTGTATTTTTTTTTTTTTTTTACTACAATTTGCGTTCGGCTCTTCCTCCTCTGCAGGACTTCGAGGCCAGCGGCGGCGGCGATGACGCCCTCCTCACGGGCTCCGCCATCCTCTTGACTGACAACGGTGTAAGTAGCGCCTTGCTTGCAGGGCCCCAACTTGGTGCTGGACAACCTTCTATCTTCTCCTTCTTTGCCGTCGTCATCGGTGTCGCCGGTTGTGCTGCATGGCTTTGTGGTGCGGACTAATATGGTGTTATTTGCTAACCCTATCTGCGTGCGGAATCTTCTTATGTGTTCTCCTGGTCTCCATTTTCAGTCGGACGCTGCTAATAACCCCGAGACAGCATGACCGCTTTCCTTATTATCGACCCTGTAAACTGTAATAATCTGATGCATGCATAATGGTGAAAGACTCCGTTTTCCCCCCGTACTTATCATCGCATCTCTAACCGCATCCTTCTGTCTTCTGCCGGATCCGGCTCATAAATGTAGTATTTATGGTCCGCTTTAGGTCCGGCCCGGCGCCCCGGCGCACGGGCGGCGCCCAGGAGCGCCCTCTGTCGCCTCCGTGCGCTGGCGATACTCCGCCGCCCGGACGAGCGCGCGGGGTATCGCATCAACTCTAAACCTAGACTTATGGCTCATCTTGGATCCTTCGCTGTTCCAGGTGGAGCAGGATGCGGGGGACGGTAGCAAGGAGCTGGGGGGCATGATGCCGCCCTTCCCGCCGCCGCCGCCAGGGCCCGAAGGTAAGGAAAAACCGTGGCGTACAGGACTTCACTCAGAAAAATCAGTGTTCACCCCCCCCC